AGGGAGGCAAGGGGAAGAGGACAGCTTATCTCAGGCCTTTTGAGGAGCTGGCATGTTTTGTTTTGGTCTCCAGTTCCTACGATACTTTTTGATTCTCTCTAGCACCTCTGCAGAGTTCAATCGGTTGCTAGCTTCCACTGTGTTCTGATGGACTGCCTTACAACTGCTTAAATAAATGTTGGTTTTTAACACTGTTATTCTGTGCCTACGTTAACCTGAGAGAGAGCCCCTTGCTTCGCAGCCCAGTTCTCGGCTGAGTGGGTTTAACAGTGCTGCATCTTCGTCAAGCTCTTTATCTTTTGCAGAACTGCACTGCAGCGGCCTAAATAGCATGAATGCTAAATGGCCTGTCCTTTACAACCCAGAGCATGATTTCTCTTCCTCCCCACCCCCATAACGCCAGCTGAAAAACTCAAATCTTTGGCTGTGTGAAGTGGGCCTTGTGACACGCAACTCACCTGGAGCTGCTTGTCATTTTACCCAAGGCTGATGGAGGTGCTTCTGATTGCATGAATAGTAGACAGGTGGTGCCGAGCTGGCCCTATGTGCCTTCTTGACTTTCAAGTGACAGATGCTGCCCTAGCATTCTACAGGAAATGACGTGATGAAGGCCACTTTGACTCAAAGGCATGAACTCTCTCACAGAACCTGGCCCTCCTAAGCACATTTTCCTTTCAGCATTGCTTTATTCCAGCTTCATTCTTGGATCCAGTTTTGGGGCATCTCAAGGACAGGACGCAGCTCCTGGGCAGGTACAGCGAGCCAATGCCCAGACTCTTACCAGCGGCATGCCCTGCAGCTACAGGGCAGATGAGTCTGGGCTGCTCCACTGAAGGACAGCAGCTCATGGAATGAGTGTAGTGGTCAGCCCCTGGCCTGCAAATGTACTTGGCAAAAGTTTACCCCATGCACTGAAGCTTTAGTGGGGCAATCACCATAAAAGCCCAGTAAGAATCTGAGCCCTTCCAAAGAGCCTCCCCTCTCAATCCAACAGGCTGGTGTAGGTGAAAATTATCAGCAATTAAAGTTCACCTGCTGGCTCCCAGGGGCTCTTCCCTGCCCCCAAAAGAATTTAAGGCTCTAGCTGGTTGGTGTCACTCTGTCAAAAAAGGGCACTTCCACCTGCTTGGTGTCATTGGCCACAACCTTGTCTTCTCCATGTGCATCTATGCATTTCCCCACGGTCTTCAGGATGAGCCACAACCGTCTGTCCAAAGCTAAGAGGTGAGGTTCAGTGAGGACAGGTGCAAGGTGATCCAGCAGGAGGGATTCCCTCATGACATCACTGAGCCGGTACTCCGGCAGGGCCAGGAGCTGCAGGTGTAATAACGTTGTCCTCTTTATTCTGGGAAAACAAGGACTCAGGTCAGACTCTTACACCGACTCGTTGTATCCTCCCAGCAGTAAGCTGCTGTGTCAGCCCAGCAATTTGCTAGTGGACGATGGCTAGAATGGGTTTCATAAATTTTTTTTTTGTCAAAGTATTTTTGACAAAGTGGTGTTTTAGATGGAAATGGACAGAGTTGCAGAACACTCAGGGCATGTCTACACTTGCCTCCAGTGGGGGTCGATTTATCACATCTAGTGAAGACACGATAAATCAAGCGGTCTCCTGTTGATTCGGGGAAGCATAGGTGGAGTCGACGGGGGAGTGTCAGCATTCGACCTACCGCAGTGAAGACCCTGCGGTAAGTAGATCTAAGTATGTCAACTTCAGCTACATTATTCACCTAGCTGAAGTTGTGTAACTTAGACTGATTCTCCCCCTCCCAAGGGTAGACCAGGCCTCAGTTCCTTTAAAATATTGCAGTATGTAATGTAACAGAAGTGTAGCAATGATACGTGTTTGCGTGGCTATATAAGATTTGAGCCAAGAACCTCTAGGCACTTTACCAACCAGGAGAAGCCCTGCAAGGTAGCCAAGTACCACTCTGTCTTCTCTCTGCTTAGCTTTAGATTTTTTGAGCTAGGACAAGGAACCTCTTTTGCTATATAGCTATAAAAACACTGAGGGCAATTTGTAAGTGATAGTAACAGCAACATCTTGGACTAGAGCATAGCTTGACCTATGTGTATAAATACCTTTACCTAACTCGAGCAGGCTCTTTAGTCTAATAGACAAAGGCACATCACAAAGCTGAAGTTCGAAAAAACTCAAAGGGGAACTAAGATGTTAATGTTTAACGGTGAAGGGGACTGGACTTTGGTGCAGCTGGTTAAGGGAGCTGGTAGCTTCTCCATTAGTCATTCATTCCAGAAGGATGTCTTTAAAGTTGGGTCAGAGTCTCAGCTGGGTTAAATTGGCCCTAAAATCAGTCGATTTTACTCTATCTTGAGGATATGGCTTATGCTCTAGTGGAACCACAAATTCTTCGGCTTCATGCGGGAATGAGTGGGTGAAATTCTCTGGCCTATGTTCTACAGGAAATCTGACTAGATCAGTGGTTCCCAAACTTTCACAGCCTGTGAACCCCTTTCACTAAAATGTAAAGTCTCGCAAGCCCCCTCCTAAAAATGAATGTTTCCAGAAATAGTCTCCTTTATCGGAGTATAAATGATAAAAGCAGTGATCTT